AACATTTTGTTACTATTTGTGAGCATTCATACCTTTAACAGGTAACATTTTGTTACTATTTGTGAGCATTCATACCTTTAACAGGTAACATTTTGTTACTATTTGTGAGCATTCATACCTTTAACAGGTAACATTTTGTTACTATTTGTGAGCATTCATACCTTTAACAGGTAACATTTTGTTACTATTTGTGAGCATTCATACCTTTAACAGGTAACATTTTGTTACTATTTGTGAGCATTCATACCTTTAACAGGTAACATTTTGTTACTATTTGTGAGCATTCATACCTTTAACAGGTAACATTTTGTTACTATTTGTGAGCATTCATACCTTTAACAGGTAACATTTTGTTACTATTTGTGAGCATTCATACCTTTAACAGGTAACATTTTGTTACTATTTGTGAGCATTCATACCTTTAACAGGTAACATTTTGTTACTATTTGTGAGCATTCATACCTTTAACAGGTAACATTTTGTTACTATTTGTGAGCATTCATACCTTTAACAGGTAACATTTTGTTACTATTTGTGAGCTCCTTTTCTGGCAGTATCTACCACCCACATATTCCCTATGAACCTATGATATATATCATTCAAAGCTACATCTACTTTGGTGTCGTTTTGTACGTTTTTTTTCTACCAGACTGTTTAAAGTTGGTCAAGGGTGTTGTTTGGGTACTCTGACAATGGACTGGTAAAGTCAATGATTAACAGCATGGGTTATTGGACTGGTAAAGTCAATGATTAACAGCATGGGTACTCTGACAATGGACTGGTAAAGTCAATGATTATCAGCATGGGTACTCTGGCAATGACTGGTAAAGTCAATGATTAACAGCATGGGTTATTGGACTGGTAAAGTCAATGATTAACAGCATGGGTACTCTGATAATGGACTTATAAAGTTAATGATTATCAGTATGGGTACTCTGACAATGGACTGGTAAAGTTAATGATTACCAGTATGGGTACTCTGACAATGGACTGGTAAAGTCAATGATTAACAGCATGGGGACCGTGACAATGGACTGGTAAAGTCAATGATTAACAGCATGGGTACTCTGACAATGGACTGGTAAAGTCAATGATTAACAGTATGGGTACTCTGACAATGACTGGTAAAGTCAATGATTAACAGCCTGGGTTATTGGACTGGTAAAGTCAATGATTAACAGCATGGGTACTCTGACTATGGACTGGTAAAGTCAATGATTAACATCATTGGTTCTCTGACAAAGACTGGTAAAGTCAATGATTAACAGTATGGGAACTCTGACAATGACTGGTAAAGTTAATGATTAACAGCCTGGGTTATTGGACTGGGAAAGTCAATGATTAACAGCCTGGGGTATTGGACTGGAAAAGGCAATGATTAACAGTATGGGTACTCTGCCAATGACTGGTAAAGTCAATGATTAACATCATTGGTTCTCTGACAAAGACTGGTAAAGTCAATGATTAACAGCATGGGTACTCTGACAATGACTGGTAAAATTCAATGATTAACAGCCTGGGTTATTGGACTGGTAAAGTCAATGATTAACAGTATGGGTACTCCGACAATGGACTGGTAAAGTCAATGATTAACAGCATGGGTACTCTGACAATGACTAGTAAAATGCAATGATTAACAGCATGGATTATTGGACTGGTAAAGTCAATGATTAACAGCGTGGGTACTCTGACAATGGACTGGTAAAAGTCCACCGTTTATACAAAATTGGTTTCCCTTTACCCAAGGATGCTCCACACCATATATGAACCAAATCCTTTCATTCCTACAGAAGAAGAAGGATTATAAAGAAAAATTTGGTATGTTTCCCCTTTACGGCCCCGCCCCTCAGGCCCCTGGGGGCCAGACCCACTGTTTATACAAAATTGGTTCCCCTTCACCCAAGGATGCTTCAGACCAAATATGGAACAAATCCTTTTATTCCTACAGAAGAAGAAGGATTTTAAAGAATAATTTGCTATGTTTCCCCCATTTGGGCCCAGCCCCTCAGGCCCCTGGGGCCCGGCCCCTCAGCCCCCAAGGGGGCCAGACCCACCGTTTATACAAAATTTGTTTCTCTTAACCCAAGGATGCTCAACACCAAATATGGACCAAATCCTGTCATTCCTATAAAAGTAGAAGGATTTTAAAGAATAATTTGCTATGTTCCCCTATTGGGCCCCGGCCCTCTGCCCCAAGGGGGGTCACACCCACCATTTATACAAAATTAAGTCCCCTTGGCCCAAGGATGCTCCAGACTAAATTAGGATAAAATCCCTTAATCCCTACAGGGGGGCCACACCCACCATTTAATGTCCCCAGGGGGGCCACACCCACCATTTATACAAAATTGAGTCCCCTTGGCCTAAGGATGCTCCAGACCAAATTTAGTCAAAATCTACTTGGCCGTTCAGGACTAGTAGCGTTTTAAAGGAAAAGTTGACGGATGACAGACGCTGCGGTATGGCATAAGCTTTGGACCAGGTGAGCTAAAAATGTAGGAGAAAATCTCCGGACAAAAAATCAAATACTGAAATGAACAAAGGGCAATAACTTTTGGAAAAATCGTTGAATCAAAATTCTTTTCAGGGAGACACAACTTCATATCATGATTATAATGTATACCAAGTTTCGAAGAGATCGGTCGAAAAATATAGGAGGAGATTGCCGGACAAACAAAAGTTTACGCCGGACGGACAACGCCATACCATAATACTCCCGTCAAATTTGACGGGCGTATAAAAACCATGACTATGACTATCCAGGGTACACCCCGGTAAGCAAATAATCAAATCCATCCCCATATTGGAGTTGGACGACAATATCTCAACCCCTGGGCTAAGACTCTGAAATGTCCAATCTGAGGCTATGCTGATGGTGGGACATTTAAGAAGTTACCCAGAAAGTTGAAATTGTTTGTCTCAACTCAAAGTGGAAAATATTAATTGTTTTTGACACATAAAGGGAACTGTTTTGGTAAAACAGAACACTTTGTTTGCCAGGCAGCCCAGCTATAAAATGACACCCTCTGATTGTAAAAACTGATGTTGTTGAATTGTTCCTATACTGACAACACAATGGTTCATATTGCTTGTCCAAACTTGAAAGAGGGATGGCGAGAAAATGCTTTCCCAAACCAGAAGTGCAGAGAAATTTGCCCAGCAGGAGTCAAATTTAAATCCTCATACACTTGTGACTTTTTCAATTATCCACTCAAAGCATTGTTATCAACTGATAATTTAATTCCGACAATTTCTTAAAAATATCAGCAAGACTTACCTCCTACAGGGTACTGTGTACTAAATGTGGCATGGTGATTATAAGTCAATTGTCAGAATAGCAGTTATCTCCCTTTTGTACAGGCAATACCAGCAGTCTTTTTCCTCCTCTATCAAATTTAATTGTATCCTTTTCTGCGTATCATCATCAGTTATATCCTCTTCTATGCACTTAGGTCCTATCTCAGCATAAAAAATGTTTAATCTGAAAAAAATAAAATGAAATAGAACTAAATATATTTTAGAAATAATAAATATCTTTAAATTTTTAACTTATATATATTTAAAGGTTTGTAGAGTGGCTGTCTATTTTCCTAGATCCACCTTTTGGGTTTCAACTTGTTATAAGCTCTATTGCATGATGCACAACTCAATAAACAAGTAGAGTATTTATTGTGCACAGCAATAATATAATACAGATTTACACATGCTAAAATATTTCAGATGATTCCCTATCAAGATTACTTCTCATCACACAACACATACAACAAAAACTATACTCTACATGACTAAGCTAGACCTAAACAGTACCAACAGTATTGTGGTATTTCTAGCCTTTGCTACCTTGATCCTAATTAAAGAAAACACAAAAATCCCCAAACACTTATTCAACAGTTGTATTCATTTTTCATTATATTTTTAGGTTTTTAAAATGATAATATGGTTAAGAATTTGGTTTTGATACCTGCCTTTAAAAAGGAGAGGTGTCAGATGTTGCTTTTGAATTTTGGCACATCCAAATGAGACATTTAAGAACATTTGAGTGAGATTAAACTGTTTGGGTCGGAGGTAAAAATAGGCTTGGTCAGGGTACCTCAGTCCTGAAACATTTTTTTTGTCTAATGACATACAAAACATCAGATAATTGCTACTGAAAATACACTGACAGTGAAACTCCACCAGATTGTGTTATATCTAGCAAAAATAATGAAACTGTAAATGGTTTCCTAGACTTTAAATATTATACATAAAACCTATGAAATCCACAACCATTAAATATTGTCTTTTATCTGCATTAGTGTTTTAAGAATTATACTTAATAATGTCAATATCCAAACAAAAGTCTAAATTAATGAAAAAAATAGCGCCCTGTTCGTTTAAATATACTTTAGAACACCCCTTTTAAATGTACATGCGTTCATTGCCTTACATGCACCGTTATGACAGCAAGTATGTACATTTTCAAGTAGGTTTAACAGGTACTCTTCGTAATCAAATCTTGAGAAAACTTACCAAATTTGAAATATTGTGAATCACTTGCAGAAAATGAAAAGATACAGACGCTGAACAGTAACAGAACAGTTAAGGTATACAGCGTACCATAGTCTTATTTGCCAATCACAGCACATTTACTACTTCAAAACAAATATTTACATGTGGCCATGGAATTTAAATACAGCAGCAATTTGATAAAATGAAATTAATATCGGAGTCCTGATTAATGTTTATCTTGTCGATATGCTTGAAAATCTATACCGGATATTACCTTATGAATCTAATAAAGAGTCCGGAATATATTTTTCCCGATAGATTATTTGCACACCTGCTTAAATTCATGTAACACATGTTTTTTCACTGTTGACTGTATAATAGTTAGTTTTGGAATATTTCCCAAATGTTTTCGCTGTGTCAGACAGATAAAATAACTGCTGTCAATTGAACTGTGTTTATCTAACACAAACGTTGGTTTCTATTTTGTTAAGTGTCTTTCATTTCCTGTTGGTTGTAGTGACATATGACAACAAACACATCCACGTTGGTGTCTTGTGTTTAAGTACGAATCGCGAGTTTCCTGCTGTAGCGAATACACTGCAGTTGTTGATATGTCGTTCTACAGTAGATCAATGACATTGGTGGCTTTAATTGCTACGTTTATTTATTGTTCATGCCACCCAAGTCCTCGGTGTTTGCTAATTTCGTTTGATGGATTTCGTTGGAACTATCTGAATGACAACACATCCACACCAAACTTTAACAAGATAATAAAGAACGGTGTGACTGCTACACGTGGAGTAGTGAACGCTTTCATCACCAAGACGTTCCCAAACCATTACAGCATCGTGACAGGCTTGTATGAGGAGAGCCACGGTATAGTTGGGAACACTATGTACGATCCCCTCTACAAGGAGGTGTTCCACATCAACAACCAAAAACAGGTCACCGAATCTAAGTGGTTTGACAACGGAGGGGAGCCTGTGTGGGTGACAAATCAGAGACAGGCAAATATGCATCGCAGTGGCGTGATGTATTGGCCTGGGGACGCAGCGTCTGTAAAGGGTTTTCTGCCATACAGGTATGAGGTATACAACCCGGATGTAACAAACAAAAGTAGGGTTGACAAAGTTATTGACTGGTTCACAGACGAGTATCCTATCAACCTTGGTCTGCTGTACTTTGAACAGCCAGATACCCTAGGACATGAGGTTGGGCCAGATTCTCCAGAGATGAAGAAAATGATTGAAGCCCTAGATGAAGTTGTTGGGTATCTTTTGCAAAAAATTGAAGAGCATGACTTAGGAGATCTAAATGTGATTATTACAAGTGACCACGGAATGTCTTCCACACCAAAGTCAAAGATCATTGACTTAGATAAGCATATCAGTCCATTATCATATCAGATATTTTCTTCAAATCCTATTGGAAGTGTTCTTCCAAATGAAGGTAACATTTTCATTTGTTTTAAACAACAATTTAAAGTGAAGATAAGATTGATTCATTGATGAGTATATTATCACATCATTTCATACTGTTTGACATTTAAAATAGCCTCCTTTTTTAGCTCACCTGGTCCGAAGGGCAAAGTGAGCTTATGTCGTGGCTCAGCGTCCGTCTGTCATCCCGCGTCATTATTTTGCTTTAAAAAACTTCTTCTGAATAATCAAATGGCCTAGGGTGATGATATAAGGCCAGAAGAAAACTGGGATGAAGGGCTACAAAGTTTGTTAAATAAATGACCTTCACACATTTTCAAGGTCACAGGGGTCAAATATGTTAACTTATTTAGAATAACCAAAATTCCCAGGGAGATAATATTTGGCCAGTAGCATGCTGGGGTAAAGCGCTACCAAGTTTGTTCAAATGAATGACCTTCACTCATATATTCAAGGTCACAGGGGTCAATTGTTAAAAAAGACCTTTAAACAACTTGTTCTGAATAACCAAAAGGCCCAGGATGATGATATTTGGCCTGTAACATGATAGGATGTAGGGCTACCAAGTTTGTTCAAATGAATGACCTTGACTTATACGTAAGGTCATAGAGATCAAATTTGTTAAAAAAAAATAAACAACCTCTTCTAAATAAACATGGGTCCCAGAATGTTGATATTTTGTAAGTTGCAGACCTGAGATGAAAGGCTATACAATTTGTTCAACATAATGACCTTGTTTGACTTTCAAGGTCACAGGGGTGAAATGTTTTTAAAACTTTTAACATGTTCTTTTGAAGGAATTTTAATCATAAATACTGATATTTTGCCTGTAGCTTTATTTTAGATCACTTTTAATGTTACAAGTGTGAGTTTTATACCAGGTGAGCGATGCAGGCCCATTGGGCCTCTTGTTATCATTTCCACCCAGGTGATTAATCTGTTCATGAAATATTTTTTCTATACCTTGGCATATCCAGATTCAAGCATATTATAAATACTAAGATAATTTGCATTTACAAGGTACTGGAATTAGTTGAATACATTAATGTTATACATTCTAAATAGTTTCACTCTTGGTAATTCTTACGTTACTTTAGGAATGGAAGACGAGATTTTTAAGAACCTGTCTTCAGTGCCCAATTTAAAGGTGTACAGGAAAGGGAAGGACATACCTGAGAGATTTCACTATGAACACAACAGGCGGATACAGCCCCTACTGCTGGTGTCAGAGGAAGGATATTCCTTGCGTCATAATAATTCATATGTGCCAAGTAAGCCACGTAATCTAACTTATTTAATATGAGATGCCATCTGTTTTTATTAAAATCCATATTCTTTTAAATGAAGTATCCTATATTAACTCCTATAATAGCTACCTATAAAACTAGCATATTTAACAAAATGTTTTTAGATTGGCATGCTACAGCCTCTTGTATTTAATTATAAATGTGTTTTTTTGGTAATTTTCCTTTTTTTATATCTACACAATATTGTTCTGTGATTTTCTTGTTTATCTACACAATATTGTTTTGTAATTTTCCTGTTTATCTAC